GGGTCAAAAGCACCAGCAACTTCTGTTGGGAACTCGTGGCATTTCGGCAAGTTTTTGGTACAGAAATAGTTGCGGGCATGTCTGACACACCCTCCAGCGGCGAAATGAATGGGGACTATGGGTCTGACCCCACAGCTGGGGCTGGGGCTGCCTGGGGGGCCCACCTGGCTTCCCGGGGCTGAGCTCACGGTGGGGAGAAGCGCCTGGCCTGTGTCCCCAGCCCCGTGCCCACCCCAGGGGTGGCGCATGTGTCTGTCTACAGCGCTGTCTCCTGAGGTGCCGAAGTGGCAGGCGCTGGGCACAGCATGTCCGGCGGAGGTGACGTTTGGCTTTGCATTCTCTTTGCATTGGACTTTCTTTAGCAGAGGATGAAGTCTTACGTGAAACCACAAAAGGGGAAAGTCCAGCAGGCCTCGCCTCCCTTTCTAACAGTAATGGTGAGGACAGCCCGTGACCCCCGCCACCCGGCCTGGCGGCCCTCCGTTCACTGCGGGCAGGACGGTGTTGCCCGGGGGTCTCCTTGCCATCCCCTCCCTGGGCCCACCAGCTCTGGTGTCTGGAATGACTTGGGGGAGGGGGGTGTTTCGTCGTTACTTTCCGTGCAGCTCCAGACTCAAAGGGAATCCGAGGAAAGGTGCAGTGAACACAGGGAACCTCGGTCCTTCCCACCCCGTGCACGCCAGGGTGCCTGCTGCGTCCTCCCTTCCACTCTCGGGCCCCCCTGTGGCAGCACCCCATCTCTCATGCCCAGCACCCCGATGCCAGCCCCTCTGCATATGAGGCCCGGCCTCCCCCTGCCGCTGGCACCCCCACCTGGACCTGCAGGGCCCCCAGGATCTGCAGATGCAGGCCCTGCGCCCCAAGCGAGCGGTCCAGGCGCCTCCCGTGTCTCCGCCCCGCCAGCTGCTGTCTTACACCGGCCATCTGGGTGCTGGCTCGTCCGCCCCGCCCCACTCAGAGCTGAGGCCCCCGTGGGGGCCCTTCCCCAGGGCGTCCGCCAGCGCCTCTGCCCTTCCTGTCCCCGTGCACGGCAGACCCGCCGCCCGCTGGACTGGGAATAGTCCCCAGCACCCAGCACAGAGCAGGAGGCCCGGAGTTTTTCTGCCGTGTGGGGATGCAGGCGTAGGAAACATTAGGCCCATCCTATCTTTGAGGTTAATAAAACAGATCCCTCAAAGTTGTTTTATGTTCAGTTTTTGAAGAGGTTAACTATTGTACATTTCTGATCGTCTTCCTACCTTGCCTGTGAAAAGTTAGAAACAGGGGATGGCCTGGTACAGTGAGGGCTTCCCCGGCAGCTCAGACAGTAAAGAGCCGCCTGCCAGTGCAACGCGAGTGTGATCCCCGGGTCGGGAGGATCCCCTGGAGGACGGCCTGGCAACCCACTCCAGTATTCTTGCCTGAATAATTGCACGGACAGAGGAGCCTGGCGGGCCACAGCCCGTGGGGTCACAAAGTTGGACACGACTGAGTGACTGATCCACAGCAGCATGATACGGTGAACGGATGGTGGAGGGCTGCCTGCTCTGCAATGTCTTGGGGGTGACCTTGTTCCCGTGTAACATCTTAGGGCGCCTTGACACGTCGCCTAAGTGGGGGCCACCCCTGACCGCCCCTGCCATCAAGGCAGCTGAGGTGATACTGCTTGCAAAATGCCGGCAGTGTGGTTATTTCATCAATTCTCTGTTGCTTCTTGAGCTAAAATACCGCTCCCTGACCAGATAAGAAGAATGTCAGAGACGCCACAAGCCAGTCCACACCTGTGAACGTGGGCCCTGATGTGCCCAATGAAACGGCTGCAGGCTCACTCTGTCAGTGATTCTGTGTGTGTGTGTGTGTGTCTGTCTGTCTGTCTGTGTGTCTGTAACCCAGGAAGACAAAGTCAGCTTTATCTTTACAAAGCAAAGGCCAGCTAACCTGAGGGGATCTGCTAAGTAACTCACCTGTTAATCCATGAAGGAACTAGGCGGGTTAACCGGTTAATGAAGAAAAGCTTTCCAGCCTCTTCCAGGGAAGCAGAAAGAAAAGCCAGAAAACCTGCCGTCATACACAGTAATAATGTTTTCCAGGCAGCATTCAGCACCATCATTAGCGAAAGCAGGAAAATATGCAGCCCTTCCCCGCCCCCGGGAGAAAGGAAAGCTGAGTTTCCTTTAAGACTTTCTCTTTCCTCTGCGTCCCTTTCCTGAACCCCACTCCCTGTCGTCCGTAATCTTCTATTCCTTAAAATAGAGTCTGAAGCAAATGGAGGAAAATACTGAGGTTTTATTAAACCGGTGTTGTTTACACAGTTTTTCCATCCTGCTATGTTTCATAATAAAAATGATCAAGGGAAGAAAATAAAGGAAGTCAATAAAACCCAGTCTCTCCCAGCTGTGTGTGGTGGGGGTGGGATGGGCACCACTGTTGCCTGGGCCTGTTCATGGGAACAGTTACTTGTGTCAGTTTTTGTCCCATAAATATCAAATAAAAACCCCTTCACACATCAAGCCTGACACCCAACTAGAAAAAAATTAATACATTTAAAACATTGGGGTTTGCACCTCACTGATTTTGGGAAAAATCGAAGAGAAACGGTCAGCTGGTATTTACCCGGGGCTTGTTAGGACTTCAGAGAGTGGAGAATTAGATGTTTTCTGAAAAATGATTGAATATTGAGGATTCTCCTCCATCTTCTGTGGCCAGGTCCCAGGTATTTGCATGAAACCTGCCCCAGGCTCCGGGGACCTCAGGTGGAATCCAGGCTTACTTCTGGGGATGGGGGGAGGGAGGTGGCGACTTCAGCCCAGAGCCAGGCTCTGGCTCTGTCCCAGGCAGCGCCCACACCCCGCCCAGGTGAGCGAGCCTGCAGGTATGAGACCGCATGTCTGTCCAGGACACCAGGGCCCCGGGCGTGGGCTCGGGCTTAGGACCTAGGAATGAGCCAGAGCCAGGCCGCCCCCCCTCACTTGGCTCGTCAGCAGGACGGCCGGCCGGGGCCTGCCTGGGTGGTGACCACTGAAATGTGCCGTCCCAACGGCTGGTTCCACTCCTGGGTCGTTTTTTTTTACAAAATCCACGGGAACATAGGTGGGAGTGGCCTGCGGTGTCTCTGATGCTCCACTTATCAAGAAGCGGGACTTTAGCTTAAGAAAATAGGCACAGAGAATTGATGAAACGGCCATACTGCCCGCCTTTTGTAAGCCCCTCTTTTGCCCCAGTGGCAGGCGCGGTCAGGGCTGGAGGGCACTTCCAGAGGCACCGGGTTACGTCAGGCCTCCGGGTGGCCCAGTCTCACCCGGGGAGACCCTGGGATCAGGTCCAGGGCGTCACAAGGCCGGTCTGCAGAGGGCCTGGGCAGAGGTGCTGCAGCGAGGCCCCCCCTTGGGTGCCAGTGACTCTGGAGGGGAGACCTGGCCCGGGGGGCCCTGTCTGCTGAGCTGGGTCTCCCCCAGAGCTCTGAGCCCCCAGAGGAGAGGCCAGCCTCCAGCCCCCCTGTCTGTCTGTGGCTGAGCAGGTTGTGAGCGGGCTTTCTGGTTGGGGCGGGATCCCGGGGCCTCTGCTGGGGGCTGTCTGCACTTCTGGGGGTCGGGGGGGCTCTGACGGAGCCCAGGATGCTCACCCTCAGGGAGGCGGCCCCGGATCCTCTCTGGGAAGTCGGCGGCCCACAGCCAATGGCCCGGCTTTTCTGATATAATCCCGTCCTGAGGGCAGTGCCCACTTGCGGGTAATTTTGTGAGAGCCGTCATTGGAGACCTGGTTTCTGCCTCCTCCTTCTCGCTTTTAATTTGGCGTTGATCTACAAGCGTTAAGATCGATTCTGCTTCCGTTTCTAATCAGAGCCAACTCGTGGCTGTTCCTGGGCTGCACCTCCGTGCAGTGAAGGCAGTTTGTTTCTTAGCAAAGTGCAGAAGCGGTCACCCTGCGGAGTGAGCCAAGTGGGCGATCGGGGGGAGCCTTGCACTGGCTGTCTCCCAGAGGGCGCACCCATCACCACAGAAATGCGCTGTGCATCCAGCGCCTGTCTGGACCACTTCGGTGGCAAACGCTCTTCCATGGGCCCTGCACACAGCTCTTCTGCACCTTCTTGCAAAGGAGAAAAGCGCGGGCCGCTCGCCCCTCTGCTTGCGGGTATCCAGGGCTCTTCAGAGCCTTTTTCCTGCTTGCTCTCTGTGTCGACTTTCTAAAACGACATCAGAAAAGGCCATCGGGCCGGCACCCAGGTCGCTTGAGGGAGCAGGGCCCCTTGGTACAGGGTGGGGCAGAGGGAGGAGGGCCCGAGCGCGTGTGTGTCCCAGTCCAACCTCCCGCTGGCTCCTGCCTGAGGGGTGGGCCTCTCGGAGGAAGAGGGGGGATGGCCCCTGGGTCCTGCCTTTTGAGCCTGTTGAGCAGGAACGCGGAAGAGGCATCTGAAGCAAGCAGTGAGTCTCATTGCATGGGCGTCCCCAATGGTGGCGTGGGCGTCCCTGTGATGCTGGCGTGGGCGTCCCTGTGATGGTGGCGTGGGCATCCCCGATGGTGGCATGGGCATCCCCCTGATGGCGGCGTGGACGTCCCTGTGATGGTGGCGTGGGCATCCCCGATGGCGGCATGGGCATCCCCCCGATGGTGGCATGGGCATCCCCCTGATGGCAGCGTGGGCGTCCCTGTGATGCTGGCATGGGTGTCCCTGTGACGGCAGCATGGGCGTCCCCCTGATGGCGGCGTGGGCGTCCCCCTGATGCTGGTGTGGGCGTCCCTGTGATGCTGGCGGGGGTGTCCCCGTGATGGCGGCGTGGGCGTCCCCTGATGTTGGCGTGGGCGTCCCCCTGATGGTGGCGTGGGCGTCCCCCTGATGGTGGCGTGGGCGTCCCTGTGATGCTGGCGTGGGTGTCCCTGTGATGGCGACCTGGGCGTGCCTGTGATGCTGGCGTGGGCGTCCCTCTGATGGCAGCGTGGGCTCCCGGGTAGGGCGGGCGGGGCCGGGCCGGGACTGAGGGCCCCTTGATCACCGGCACCTCTGTGCTGTGCTCTCTCCACAGTGGACGTAGCCTCGGCCCTGCCTCTGCCGGTGGCCCCCCCGGGGGTGCCCATGGACCTGCGCCTGGACCACCAGTTCCCGCTGCCCGTGGCGGAGCCGGGCCTCCGCGAGCAGCAGCTGCAGCAGGAGCTCCTGGCGCTCAAGCAGAAGCAGCAGCTGCAGAGACAGATCCTCATCGCCGAGTTCCAGAGACAGCACGAGCAGCTGTCGCGGCAGCACGAGGCCCAGCTACACGAGCACATCAAGGTCAGTGTCCGGCCTCGGGCACCAGGGCAGCCTGCCGTGCACCAGGGCCGGCCTGCCGTGCGCCCCAGGTCCTGCCCCACGGCTCCCAGGCTGGCCCGCTGTGTGCCCCAAGATCCTGCCTGCCGTGCGCCCCAGGTCCTGCCCGACGGCTCCCGGGCCAGCCCACTCTGTGCACCCCAGGATCCCGCCACCCAGGACAATCCCAAGCCCCCAGGCCGGCCCACTGTCCGTACCTGTGACCCTGCCCCCCAGTACCAAAACCCGAGCCCTGAGCCCCCAGACTGGCCCCCTGTGTGTGCCCGCAATCCCACTGCCCAGGACCAACCCCGAGCCCCCAGGCCAACCTGCTGTGTGTGCCCACGATCCCACTGCCCAGGACCAACCCCGAGCCCCTAGGCCAACCTGCTGTGTGTGCCCGTGATCCTGCTGCCCAGGACCAACCCCAAGCCCCCAGGCCAACCCGCTGTGTGTGCCCATGATCCCGCTGCCCAGGACCAACCCCAAGCCCCCAGGCCAACCCGCTGTGTGTGCCCGCGATCCCGCTGCCCAGGACCATGCCCAAGCTCCCAGGCCAACCCGCTGTGTGTGCCCGTGATCCCGCTGCCCAGGACCAACCCCAAGCCCCCAGGCCAACCCGCTGTGTGTGCCCGAGATCCCGCTGCCCAGGACCATGCCCAAGCTCCCAGGCCAACCCGCTGTGTGTGCCCGCGATCCCACTGCCCAGGACCAACCCCAAGCCCCCAGACTGGCCCCCTGTGTGTGCCCGAGATCCCACTGCCCAGGACCAACCCCAAGCCCCCAGGCCAACCCGCTGTCTGTGCCCGTGATCCCGCTGCCCAGGACCAACCCCGAGCCCCCAGACTGGCCCCCTGTGTGTGCCCGAGATCCCACTGCCCAGGACCAACCCCAAGCCCCCAGGCCAACCCGCTGTGTGTGCCCACGATCCCGCTGCCCAGGACCAACCCCGAGCCCCCAGACTGGCCCCCTGTGTGTGCCCGAGATCCCGCTGCCCAGGACCAACCCCAAGCCCCCAGGCCAACCCGCTGTGTGTGCCTGTGATCCCGCTGCCCAGGACCAACCCCAAGCCCCCAGGCCAACCCGCTGTGTGTGCCCGCGATCCCACTGCCCAGGACCATGCCCAAGCTCCCAGGCCAACCCGCTGTGTGTGCCCACGATCCCGCTGCCCAGGACCAACCCCAAGCCCCCAGGCCAACCCGCTGTGTGTGCCTGCGATCCCACTGCCCAGGACCAACCCCAAGCCCCCAGGCCAACCCGCTGTGTGTGCCCACGATCCCACTGCCCAGGACCAACCCCAAGCCCCCAGGCCAACCCGCTGTGTGTGCCCGCGATCCCGCTGCCCAGGACCAACCCCAAGCCCCCAGGCCAACCCGCTGTGTGTGCCCACGATCCCACTGCCCAGGACCAACCCCAAGCCCCCAGGCCAACCCGCTGTGTGTGCCCGCGATCCCACTGCCCAGGACCAACCCCAAGCCCCCAGGCCAACCCGCTGTGTGTGCCTGTGATCCCACTGCCCAGGACCAACCCCGAGCCCCCAGACTGGCCCCCTGTGTGTGCCCGAGATCCCACTGCCCAGGACCAACCCCAAGCCCCCAGGCCAACCCGCTGTGTGTGCCCGCGATCCCGCTGCCCAGGACCAACCCCAAGCCCCCAGGCCAACCCGCTGTGTGTGCCTGTGATCCCGCTGCCCAGGACCAACCCCGAGCCCCCAGACTGGCCCCCTGTGTGTGCCCGCGATCCCGCTGCCCAGGGCCAACCCCAAGCCCCCAGGCCAACCCGCTGTGTGTGCCCACGATCCCGCTGCCCAGGACCAACCCCAAGCCCCCAGGCCAACCCGCTGTGTGTGCCCGTGATCCCACTGCCCAGGACCAACCCCAAGCCCCCAGGCCAACCCGCTGTGTGTGCCCACGATCCCACTGCCCAGGACCAACCCCAAGCCCCCAGGGCTGGCCTGCTCCGCCTGGCCCTCACCCTGCCACCTAGGACCACCGCCCCCAGCACCACCCCAGTGACCTGCTGCCAGGCTGAGGTGGATGCCCGGGTACGTTCCTTGCTGGGCCATTTAGACCTGTGTGACGGCACTTGGAAGCTGGTTGAAGGAATCCTGGCTGATGTGGCCAAGAGTGGAAACAGCACTTAAAGTCACCCTGTAGAAGCTTAGAGTGGGGGAGAATTCTGGTCGCTGGACTCCAGCTACAAACATATGTCCCTAAATAGCGACATCCCCAGCAAAAAGAAGCGCCAAAATATTAGCAGCGGTCACCTCTGGGTCAGGTGTTTAGGAATTGTCTTTATTTTCTCCTTGGGACTTGTCCATCCTCTCTCCATTTTTCCCACTGATTTTTTATAATTGAAAAAAAAAACCACACTAATATTTGTTTTCATTTAGATAGGGTAAGGAAAAAGCTAACATAATTTTTTCTTTTTGGTATTTACTGTTTGGTGTGTGCTAAGTCACTTCAGTCATGTCTAACTCTTTGCAACCCTATAGACTGTAGCCCCCCCAGGGTCCTCTGTCCGTGGGATTCTCCAGGCAAGAATGCTGGAGTGAGTTGCCAGGCCCTCCTCCAGGGGATCTTTCCGACCCAGGGATCGAACCCGAATCTCTTACGTCTCTGGCAATGGCAGGCAGGTTCTTTACGAGTAGGCCACATGGGAAGCCCTGTTCACTGTCTACAGACATTTATTCGAATCCCAGATTTTAAAAGCAAACGTTCTAGGAAGAAACGTGCACTCGTGAGGCACAGAGCAGTCACGTCCCTTGGCTGAGGGACCAGTTATAACATCTGTGATCACGTGTGTCACCACACTTAGAACAGCGCTGTCCAGTGGAAATGTGTGCACGTTAAAATTCATAGGTAGTCTTTCATTTTCTGTAGACACCTGAAATCACCCAAAGAAACCAGGTTGTGTGAGTGATTTATTGTTACATAACAAATTACCCAAAAGATTTTTAGCTCCTTGAAATAACAAGCGTGTGTTATCAGACAGCTCAGCTCCCGTGGGTTGGGGATCTGGGGGCAGCCCAGAGATGGCCGGTCCACAGGGCCTCTCGGGAGCTGCAGTCAGGCGTGGTCAGGGCGGCGGTCTCATCTGAGAACTGGGCCGGGCCTGCAGGACCCCCTTCCCGGCTCACTCACCCCCTGGATTTGAGCAGGAGGCCTCAAGCCCTACTCACTTGGGCGTCCGGGATCCAAGTGACCAAGAAGGAGGTCGCGGTGTCTTCTGGCCAGATCCTGAGGGTGACCCCCCGACACCCCTGCTGTGTTGCCCTGCTGCTGTAGGCATCAACCCTTCCAGGAGGGGCCCAGCCAAGGGGTGGACACCAGGAGGCAGGAGTCTTTGGGGGGCCACTGGGGAGCTGGGTGCTAGAGGTAGAAGTAATTTCAGGGTATTTTCTTTAACCTCGCATTTCTAAAGTGTCACTTCAACCCGCGATCCACAGACGCGGCTGTGTCTGTGCCGAGTCTCGGCGCACACCGCGGACCAGACACACAGGGCCCATTTCCGCGTGGACCAGAGGCACTGCGGCCGCACGTGGTCAGTGGCTGCGGGGCTGGGCGGCAGTGACGTGGGGAGTTAAGATCCCACGTGGCACGCGGTGCTCCTGAGACACCTCCCTCGGAGACCAGCGCCGCCCACAGCCGGATGTCACCCGGCCCGGCCTCGGCTTCCTCAGGCACCACCAGCCCGTGCCCACTGCTGCTGGGCGGAGTGACTGTGCACCGTCTGTCTCTGCCTCTAGCTAGCCTCGCCTGAGGCCCCGGGTCCCGGCAGGGCTGTCGCTGCCACTGCGGCTCTCCACCCCGACTCCCAGGAGCTGCCGAAGTCAGCATCGGACGCAGAAAGCAGAGAACAGCCTCCAGAGCTGCTGGGGACCCAGGCCTCACGGCTGTGCTTGTAGACAGCTCTGAGCCAGCGCGCACTCCCTCCTAATCAAGATGTCACTGGTCTCTGTAGAGACGCCGCCCCGCCCCAGCCATAGTGGTCCTCTGCTTTTCAATAAGCACCCTTGGGTTTGGGATGGATCGGGCGAGGGTCCTGAGAGCCAGGGCGATGCCCTTTGCCCCCCTGGTGCCAAGCGCCTGTCCTCCTGCTGCTGGGAGGAGACGGAGCCCCCGGGGGGTGCTCTGTGGGGTGTGGCCTGGACCTGCCTTGCCAGCGGGGTAGCCGGGGCCCCATCACGTGCAGGGGGGATGGGTGTGGGGGCCGAGGGGTAGCAGTGGCGAGGGAGGGGGTGGGGCTTCCCGCTGAGGCCCCGCCCCGAGGGGGGTCTTTGGCCCTGAGCCACACGTGGCTTTTCAGGACTGGGATGAAGCTCTCAGTGGCTGCAGGACTAGGTCCTCACCAAAGTCAGTCTAGATAACTGCCTTTCAGTACCAGTGAGCACTCCCCACAGGCTGCCCGATCCGTTTTGTCCTTGAAGCTTCAGCCTCCTGTTTTCTGTGACTCCCAAAAGCAATCTGAAGGGCTCGCCCTGGGCCCGCCCACTCGCACTGCTGGCCCCTGTGATGTGGCTTCCTCTCCTCCTCACCAGCAGGCTTCTTGAACTTTTGCCATCAGAGTCCTGCATCTTGCTATCACCTCAGAAGCCTGAAAGGTCAGGGCAGCCCATCTCTTCCGGACCTTTACCTGGCCTCCTGGTGACCTGGGGGCCCCCATCTTTGGAGGCAGAGCTCCTCCGCCGGGGGTCCCCCAGCCTCCCAGACCTTCAGGCCAGAAGCCCACAGAAAGGATGGGAGCCCCAGAAACGCAGTTCAGAAACCTTCTCAAGGTGACGTGTTCTCTGTGCTTTAATTGTTTCTCTGTTTATAGCAGAGATCATTCGTCTGAAGCCATTTAAAATTATGTAACCGTCATCCTATCAGCCGGCCTCTGTTTTGATGATTTCCGCTCTCCTCACAAGCCATCATGTTGTTGGTGACATTTGGCAGTGGTGTTTGTCAGACAGATTTCTTGAGCACACAATCTAATTAGTGTCA